TTGCAGTCTCTTTTACCCCTCTCAAGCCAGTTTTCTGCTGCAGCAGCAGACAGTCTTATCCACGGAAGGTTAGTAACAGCTGCTAAGTCTCTCCAGATCAGTATCCCACCAGATTTCAGCCACAGTCTCTCACCAGATCTCACACGTGGTATGCAGGTCCCCAATATGCAGGCAGCCCAGAAGAGGTCACAGCCACAGTAACAGATCCTTTGGCACCAGCATGTGGTCCTGCAGCTCTTGCAGCACAGTACCAGCTCACAGCCCAGATTGCAGCAGCAATGGCAGCTTCCCAGCCCTGTACTCAGACTCCTAGGCAAGCTGCCAATTACAATCCAGTTCCCAGGCTTACTGTACTATCCAGACACTCTTGCTCTCCCTGTGGATCCTGAGTCACAGACACACCTTTTCGGGCCCACCCTGCTCTACATGTGGGTAGTGAAGCTCTGTTGGTGGTGGGAAGTCTTAACAGCCAGTGGCCAATTATAGTCATCCTGTCCCTGGCAGGCAATCAATTTCCTCCCTGCCCCAGAGTTGCTAGAGATAGGCTTTCTAGCAGCAGCATCCAGTCAGAATCCTCTTCTCTCCCTAGGCTGTCAATGACTGGAGAGAGAAAAAAGTCTTTGCAGCATAGTGGTAAATATTTTGCAGGACAGCTTAAAAAAGACTGGCTAGTGCCACATCTATACAAGTGTACCCCCTTACTTACATACATACTTCTATACATACCTACAAAGCTTTCATTGCCATTTTTATGCCAGAATACCAGCAAAGTCCTAGCACTTCTTGGCAGTTATGAAGACGGCCTGTCCCTGTCCACTTCCCACACAGTTGTACAGGCTAATGAAGCAGTACATCATCGTGATTGGCCAGGAGTAATGAGGGAGGAAGCAAGCTCCAACTAAACCCGAAAGTGCTGAAGCTATAGGTGTTCATAACAGCCTTGAATTTGGGTAAAGTATGGTCAATAAAAGTTGCTGCAAGAATTTGCAAGCACCCCTAGGTTCCCACTTTCAGCTTTTTTTTGTAATGACAGAATAACTTTAAATGTCTACTTAAACCTACTTTAAAAGTCTTGTTGGAATGAGTAGATGAAAAATAGAAGGGCTAAAAGGACTGATTTTCCTTAAAGCAGTAGTACAGTTATGATTTGTACCTACTGGTAAGGCTATAATAAGACTTACCTGTAGGAATATCTCCTAAATAGCACCATTTAGCCTTCAACCTCTAGCTCAGAAGAACATTACCACCAATTCCCTAACAAAGCTGTAACATTTTTCTGAACCCCAACAGACCAGTACTATCGACTCTCCTCACCCTCAGAGCAATGGTATCTGCCTCTTTTCAGACAGTGCTACAGTTGAACTATACACTAGCCTTCTTATCTAAATAAAAGTAGTCCATTCTTATGGCAAATAATCAATCATTACCCACGGGGATACACATATTGATGCATCAAAGCTTAGGGGACAGCTCCTAAACACAGTTGTGTTCAAAATAATAGCAGTCAGACATCACTAACCTGATCAATCACTGTTTTTGGTAGAAATTATATTTCTACATGGAAAATAATTTACTAGCAGGTGTAGTAGAGTAATAGAAATCCAACAGACCCAACAGTCATGACATGCATGCTGCTGATTCTGTGTAATTGAATCACTAATTGAAAGGGGCATGTTCAAAATAATAGCAATGTGGAGTTCTATTAGTGAGGTCATTCATTCTTTGAAGAACAGGTGGCAATTATTGCCCTTATTTAAGGAAGGAAGGCAGCAAATGTTGTACATGCTGGTTAAAGTGCATTTCTCTCTGAAATTCTGAGGAAAATGGGTCGTACCAGACATTGTTCAGAAGAACAGCAAACTTGATTAAAAAGTTGATTGGAGAGGGGAAAACATATAAAGAAGTGCAGAAAATGATAGGCTGCTCAGCTAAAATGATCGCAAATGCTTTAAAATGGCAACCAAAACCTAAAAGACGTGGAAGAAAGCGAAAAACTACCATTCGAATGGATAGAAGAATAGCCAAAATGGCAAGGACTCAGCCAACAATCAGCTCCAGGAAGATCAAAGAAGGTGTAAAGTTACCTGTGAGTACTGTTACAATTAGAAGACGCCTATGTGAAGCCAAGCTATCTGCAAGAAGCCCCCGCAAAGTCCCACTGTTGAAAAAGAGACATGTGCTGAAGAGGTTACAATTTGCCAAAGAGCCCATTGACTGGCCTAAAGAGAAATGGCACAACATTTTGTGGACTGATGAAAGTAAGATTTTTTCTTTTTGGGTCTATTGGCCGGAGACAGTTTGTCAGACGACCCCCAAACACTGAATTCAAGCCACAGTACACTGTGAAGACAGTGAAGCATGGTTGCGCAAGCATCATGATATGGGGATGTTTCTTATACTACGATGTTGGGCCTATTTATCGCATACCAGGGATCATGGATCAGTTTGAATACATCAGAATACTTGAAGAGGTCATGCTGCCTTATGCTGAAGAGGAAATGCCCTTGAAATGGGTGTGTTCCAACAAGACAACAACCCCAAACACACCAGTAAACATGCAACATCTTGGTTCCAGACCAACAAGATTGACGTTATGGAGTGGCCAGCCCAATCCCCGGATCTTAATCCAATAGAAAACTTGTGGGTGTGGGTGACATCAAAAATGCAGTTTCTGAGGCAAAACCAAGAAATAGAGAAGAACTGTGGAATGTAGTCCAATCATCCTGGGCTGGAATACCTGTTCACAGGTGCCAGAAGTTGGTTGACTCCATGCAACACAGATGTACAGCAGTTCTCAGAAACAGTGCTTATACAACGAAATATTCATTAAGTGAAACAAACATTTTTCAGTTTATATAGTGAATGTTTGAGTTTGTAAAGAAGAATACAAACACTGCTATTTTTTTTGAACAGTCTAATATTCACTTTTCTTCATTTTTTTTTTAGAGTAACAACACAAATTTGATCTATTTTTCTTCATGTTTTGATTTGGAATAGAATGTGTCGTGTTCCCAATGCATTTGTGTGTATGGAAATAAAAGCTATTAGAAGGATTTTGAGCTTTATTCACTTTTTTCAACACACTGCTATTATTTTGAACACAACTGTATATTAGGACTTTATTGCATAAAGTGATTTTTGTGTATTGTGAGAGGTGGGGTAAATAAAATGACCTGCAAACTAGTGCGAGAGTAACTCTCACACTTAGATATAGATGACCATATTACAGAGGCTTAAATATCCAATAGTGCTAGAACCCTATGATATCCACATATTTGTTCTCCAGAGGCAAAACAACTCTGATATACTGACAATATAACACATTCAGTCAGGACCTTCATGGAATAAATACTAGTCCCCCAAAAAACATTCTATTACATAATCCCAGTCCTATTACTTTTCCAAAGAACCTCTGTATATGTCCATCAAACAAAAAAGGAGGTAGCTAAAAAATATTCAAAACCTCTCCCCAACAAAACCATGTGAACCCAATGTGAAAAAGTGCACCTAAAGCAAAAAAAAAAAACCTTACATGTTTTGCTCAAACAGAGCTTAATCAGGGGTGGTCACCTATATATAAGTGTGAGAGTTGCTCATGCACTAGTTTGGAAGTCCTTTAGGGAACTTTTTTACCCCACCTAGCTGCTGCAGTAAAACACAACACATAAGAAATACTTTATTCAATAAAGTCCTTATATATTAGGCGCCGTCCCCTAGAGGTGGGTCGTCACATCCCTGTGAGTAAAGATTAACTGTTACAGTCGGCCAGAAGAAGGCAATTACTTCAGCCATGATCCACCAGGAGATTCCTCTGTACGGGGGTTGGGGTGATATCTTGCTGGCTGAATTGCACCTATATTCAAAGCAGTGTTGCCACCGGTCCTGCTTGCCTTACTGTGGGATGAGAATACATTGCAGTAGATGTGGCTACCAAAATTGTCACTGCTGTTTTACAAGCCTGTAGCATCAATCAGCAGCTTGCCACACCTAGTCTTGCCCACTTTATTCTGGATTGACAGTACTACCTCTGTTGCTAAACTCTCCCAGTGTGCTGCAGTGTCTGGGAAGGGGAGCATGTGAGACACAAATGAAGGAGGATTTGGCTCAGCCAGGGAAGGTAAAGGAAGTTTTTTGTTTAACAGAATATGTAAAATGTAAAAGGAAATCAAGGCCGCAAAAATTGTAAACAAGTGTCAGATTGCAAAAAAAAAGTAGGACAAACCCCCCAAAAATCGTCAGATATATTAATAGTAAAAAGGTCAGGTCTAAGCATGTAGGCTCTTTACAAAATAATCTACAATGGGTGGCTGGGGACAAAGAGAAGACAAATATATTAAATACCTTCTTTAGTTCTGTGTATACAAAGGAGCATGGGGGAGATCATGTCCATAATGGGGATGGTAATGACACAGCCCCAAATGATCCACAATTGCTCAAAATTGATATGGTCCAGAAATATGTAGACAGAATAAAGGTAAATAAAGCACCTTTACTAGATGGCTTACACCCACATGTCCTAAAAGAACTGAGCTCTGTCATTTCAAAGCCATTATTTCTAATTTTTAGGGATTCTTTAATGACTAGCATAGTACTACTGGATTGGCATAAGGCCAATGTGGTGCCAATATTTAAAAAGGATTAAAGTCTTTACCAAGTAACTGTAGACCTGTTAGTTTAACTTCTATAGTTGGGAAAATATGTAGCACTACCCCCTTAGGAGCTGCTGAAGATTTGGGTCGTCCTATATTCCTGTACAGCCAGGCAACATGTATTTTCTTCGGACTTGCATTCCAGCTTGCATACAGGAGACAGTAAACAGTTCTTGATTTTTAAGTTGGTTTTTAACCACAAGCCTACAAGGCACTTATACCCCCTTCCTGCCCAGGCCAATATCCAGCTTTCAGAGCTGTGGCACTTTGAATGACAATTTGAGCGGTCATGCAACACTGTACCCATATGAAATTTTTTATCACAAATAGAGCTTTATTTTGGTGGTATTTAATCACCTCTGGGTTTTTTATTTTTACTTAAACAAACCAAAAACCAATGAAAATTTTGAAAAAATAATGTTTTTTCTTAGTTTTGTTATAAAATGCTGTAAATAAGTGATTTTTGTCCTTCACTGATGTGCGCTAATGAGGCTGCAGTGATGGGCACTGATAGGCTGCACTGATGGACACTGATAGGTGGCACTGATGAGGTAACACTGATGGGCATTGACAGGCATCACTGATGGGCACTGAAAGGCAGCACTGATACATGGCACTGATAGGATAGGCAGCACTTACTGGCACTGATAGGCGGCACTGACTGGCACTGATAGGTGGCACTGATTGGCATTGACTGATTGGTTGATAGGTGGCACTGATTGGCATTGACAGGTGGCACTGACTGGCACTGATGGGTGACACTGAAAGGCAGCTCAGATGGGCACTGATATGTGGCATTGATGTGCACTGGTAGGCGCTGATATGTGGCATTGATGTGGCACTGATGGGCACTGGCACGAGGCATTGATGAGCACTGACAGAAGGCACTGATGGACACTGACAGGTGGCACTGCTGGGGCTACACTGATCATCAGTGCCCTGATGATCAGTGTAGTTGTCCCCTTCGTGGAAAGCCGATTACGGGCTCTCCTCTCCTCACGAGCTGTCAGCATGACAGCTCGAGAGGAGAGAAAGGCCGATAACTGGCATTTTCCTGTTTACATGTGATAAGCTGTGATTGGACACAGCTGATCACCTGACCGAGCCGACATCTTCGGCTCTTTCTGTGATCTGTGATTCGCTGTGTCCGAGGGACACAGTGCACCGCAGATTGCCGTGCTGCGCGCTCCCTGAGCCGTGCATGCGCGGTGAGAATGGGAGGACGTCATATTACATCCTCCCAGAACGAAAGAACCACCTTGCGTCCATCATATTACTATATGGCAGGCGGGAGGTGGTTAGGTTTTATTAGGGGTATTTGAACTTGAATGGTGTAAAGGGTGTATGGCCTGCCCAAGGAACAGTAAACTTAGAACAACTTCCTGGCAACTAGGTACAAGTCTTTTTACAGCCAAAGTTCTTTCTTGGGGAGCTCTCCAGCCTCTCCTGGTGTACCACCCAGACCCTAGATGAATCCTCATCTCATCCAGCTATATGGAGGAAATCCCAGGGCAAGGATCCAGTGCCTGCCACTTTAAGTTGAAACAGTCCCGGGTAAAGAACTAGTCAGGTTTCCCACCAGAATGCCCCTTTCCCCTTAACTGGCCCAGGGGGTGTATATTACTCACTCTTCCTCTGCTGTGTGCTTGTAAGGTTGGTGGTTACCTTCAGGCCTTCTGCTGAGCTGGCTTCTTCCCTGCTGCACAGGTGGTCCTCTCTCAGGGGACTCCTGAGGTTGAGTGATCCTCCTTTCCAGCAACCCTGCCTGGAGGTAGGCCATCCCCCTCCCAAGCTTCTGCATCTCAGTCTTCTCTACATTTTCCACCCAAACCCTCCTCTGAGCAGTCTCAGTCACACTTAAGGGTTGTCCTGACCCCATGCCAAGCCCTCAAGAGTGTAGACCAGCTCCTCCTCACCCCCGCCCACTGAGTTCTAGAGACGTCTCCAAGTTTCTAGGTCAAGGAGAGGTAGTAGTAAGGTGATCTGCAGAGCCTCTCAGCCCTGACCTGAATTTGACCCCTCTGACTATCACACAGGCTGCTACTCAGCCTTCTGGTTAAAAGAACACATAGATAATTTCTTGCTAGAAAAAATTGTCATACAAATCTGTTTTCTTTTTATGAGGAGGTAAGAAAACACTTAGACAAAGGTGGGGCTGTTGACATTCTTAGATTTTCAAAATTCCCCACACATACAGCTAATGTGTAAGGTAATGCCTACAGGCTTGGATAAATCTGCTTGTTAATGGATAGAAAACTGGCTAAAAGATCGTATTCAGAGAGTAGTGGTTAATGATTCATACTCTGAATAGTCTAGGGTTGTCAGTAGTGTACCCCAAGGTTCAGTGTTGGGACCCATACATTTAATATATTTATAAATAATGTAGGGTCTGGGATTAAAGGTACCATTTCAGTCTTTTCAGATGACAGCAAGCTGTGCAGTGGAATAACGTCCTTACAGGATGTCTCCAACTTACAAGTTGACCTCAATGCACTGTTTAATTGGGCAACTATGTGGCAAATGAGGTTTTAATGTTGATAAATGTAAAGTTATGCACTTGGGGGCTAAAAACATGCATGGAACATACATGCTAGGAGGAGAACAGCTGGGTGAAGTAATGGTGAAGAAGGATATGGGTGTTCTGGTAGATCATAGGCTTAATAATAACATCCAAGCTGTGGCTTTCAAAGCAAGCAAAATCCTTTCTTGTATTAGGGGAGGTATAGACTCCAGAGAGAGAGATATAATTTCCCCCAGTACAAATCATTAGGAAGACCTCATCTGGAATATGCATGCCAGTTTTGGGCACCAATTCACAAAAAGGATATCAGGGAACTGGAGAAAGTACAGAGAAGGGCAACCAAACTGATATGAGGCATGGAGGAGTTCAGCTATGAGGAAAGATTAGAGGAAATTAATTTATTCTCTCTTGAGAAGAGGAGTTTAAGGGGGGATATGATCAAAATGTATAAATACTTAAGTGGTCCATATAGTGAACTTAGTTTAGAGTTATTCACATTAAAGCAAAAAAGGATCAGATGTGCCACGGCTCAGAAGAATTGGCTCAGGTGAGAACATCGCTGGATCCCTGGGCAGGTAAGTGTCCTTATATTAAAGTCAGCAGCTAGCTATAGTATTTGTAGCTACTGACTTTTATTATTTTGGAGTATCAGGAAGACATTTTTTCCCCTGCTGAAGCAAATTGAATCATGCTTTATTATAGGTTTCTTTTTGCCTTCTTCTGGATCAACTGTAGGTATAGGATTGTCCATATATACTATACTGTATGTATATATTGTTTCCCCTTCTTTTGGTTGAACTGGATGGAATTGTGTCTTTTTTCAACCAGACTAACTATGTAACAATGAAACTTTATGAGGCTTGTTCATTATGTTGTAATTGGATTTAGGACTTGTTTAGGCTGTCACAAGGGAGTATTTAGATGTACTTTAACTTTTTTAGAACAAAGAAGCAATACCAGTTTCTTGTTTTAGAAGAGCAATACCACCTGCTCCTTCTCTCTGGGTACACTCTACTTTTCTTACTAATTATAACATCAATAAAAATGTAATTTACTTGCATTATTTGTAAATCTTTTGAGAATACGTGCTCTTAAAATAAACTGGAACTGAGAGAGTTATGAAGGTAGCCATTGCCGATATCTTCTTCTAAAAATGCTAAATGCCTTCTGTGGTTTTTGTACTTTAAGGGCTTGTTCATACTGCAGTGCGGTGCAGGAAACCCACTTTGGGTGTCAACATAATCTCAATGACACCCCAAACGCAGATTGCAAACGCAGTGTGTTTGCCTGCACCAGAGGACATGGTACCATGAGCTTCAGTGCAGTGCATTTTTGAAAAGTGGTGCGTGCACTACATTAGGTGCGATCTAGTGAAATTGCAGCCCCTAAAAGTCACAGATCTAAAAAAAAAAAATATTTAGATCAGCCTTTTTCAGCCAGAATTCTGATCCAACCAGGATCAGAAGGCATCCATATGCCTTCTGGGTTCTTTAGGGTGCCTTGCAAAATGTCTAAAAATTGCCCCAAATGGCCCAAAAAGTGTCAACAAGCTAATGGCTGTGGATAAAGTCTGCCTTTTTTCTAACTATGTAACTATTGATAAGAGGCATGGAGGAGCTCAGCTATGAGGAAAGATTAGAGGAACTGAATTTATTCTCTCTTGAGAAGAGGAGATTAAGGCGGGATATGATCAACATGTATAAATACATCAGTGGTTCATATAGTGAACTTGGTGTAGAGCTATTCACCCTGAGGTCATCACAGAGGACAAGGGGGCACTCTTTACATCTGGAGGAAAATAAATTTAATCTCCAAACACGGAAAGGTTTCTTCACAGTAAGAGTTGTGAAAATGTGGAATAGACTCCCTCAAGAGTTGGTTCTGGCCAGCTCAGTGGATTGCTTTAAAAAAGGCCTGGATTCTTTCTTAGATACACAGAATATAACTGGATACAAAAATTTATAGGTAAAGTTGATCTAGGGAATATCCAATTGCCACTGGAAGGAATTTTTTCCCCTGCGAGAGCAAATTGCATCATGCTTTGCTTATTTTTTTTGCCTTCCTCTGGATCAACTGTGGGTATAGGATTATAAGTTTTTTTTAATGGTTGAACTGAATGGACTTTTGCCATTTTTCAGCCAGACTAGCTATGAATGAAAATAATTTTTTTTTGTAACACAAAGCCACGGGTTTTTATTGGATACAACATTGGGCACCATATGGGCCAGCTGCCAGCTTCCTAACAACCAATGATGTCACAGGTTGAACAGGAGGACGTCGGGCACCTGAGTTCATACTAGTTTACCCCTTCCCTGCCTTTCTCTATCATCACTGGGGTCACATTACCTGAATGGTAGAGAAACTGAGAAGAGAAATGCTGAAATACTAGTCAATATGAGTGTGCAATAGTATATTGCTTTGTAAAAAAAAAAAACCTCTAATGTTGGGTGTTGTACATGTGTAAAGGCCGCTGCATGTACAACTATTAGTTTAGATTTTTACATTTTAGAATGGGGTGCATAGATTGTGCATACTTTTAAAGGGTGCCTTGACTGAAAAAAGGTTGAGAAACGCTGGTTTAGATCAGAATTAAAGACATTACTCTGAATTTACTGGCTGCATGTTTGTTCCATGTCAGCACCTCAGAACGTAACAATGTAAGCACGGTACATGCTTACCACATCACAACAAAAAAATGTTTTTGGAGTAACCTGTATTAACAATTAAATAGCTGCATTAATTTGTGTTTTTATAGCTACATAGAGTTTATCTTTAATCTTGACTTTTGAAGAAGTATATCATGTACAGCTTAGACCCAGGTACCAATATGGCTCCACAGGGACCAATTTGAAAACTAACAAACACTTCCAGGCATCACAGCGCCTAGACTCTTGCTACTATAGAAACATTTTAGGAATAAGGAAGAATCCCTCCACTGTTAAACTGATGGTATAAATACACTGGGGTTTTACAGTATATCTATTATAAAAAACTTACAACCCTGAGGTGTAGGGGGACCTGACTCATATCTCTTTTTCTGCCGCCTACTGATGATCACAGATAAACCAGGATGCGGGAAGAAACAATTATCAGTTGACATAGCAATAATAATATAGATGCGCTATGAACTGTTACTGTAGATAAACCTTAAACAAGAAAAATCATATGAAAATCACCATAGAGACCCTGAATGGGAATTTTTGTTTGACTGCCTGCAGCTGTCCATGGTACACAATGAACAGCAGCTGGGAAAATTTGCAGTTGCATTTAGAGCCTACCTATGTGATAAGTACAAATTATTTTACACTTAGATTGTGAACAAACAACCTAATATCTGAATACCTTTGGTTAAATGTTGTCCAGGGGCGGACTGACAACTCATGGGGCCCCCGGGCAATAGGGGATCATGGGGCCCCTGTGTCCTTGCCCAAACTCACAAAAAGCCTATGAGAAAGGTACCAGGGGCATCTCATGGGGTCCCCTACTGACCCCGGGCCCTCGGGCAGTGCCCGAGTTTCCAAATGGTCAGTCCGCCCCTGAACTTATCTGATCCTATATCATCTTTTCTACTGAATAATTATTACTATACAGGATTTATGTAGCACCAACAGTTTGCGCAGCACTTTACAATATAATAGGAGAAAATACAGCAACGATACAGTTCAATAG